TGCTGAACCACGTAGGCAGAGCGGTTTGCAAACCGGGAACCAGCAGCGCTGGAGGAGTTTGTGGGATGTGTGGACTCACATACACACACACCCCGTGTTGGCTGTCAGTGTCTTAAGAAATAATTTCTTGGCAAAGCCTTTAGAAGACTCTTCTCTTTTGCTGCTAACCAAAAAAAAAAAAAAATTTTTTTTTTTTTTTTTTGTTAAGACCAAGCGCTTCCATAACAGATAGAAAGTTAACCAGCAAGAGTTATACTCACCTCTGCACTGAGCACAGGGCTGCGAGAGCAGAATTCCCCCTCCAGGTTTGGAAGTTATTCTTAAAAAAATAATGCATTAGAGAGAAAGAAATAGAGGAAAATGTGAGTGAGCTAAAAAAAAGGGAGGGGGGGAATAAAGAATAAAAAGAATAAAGATAAAAGAAAAAAGATAAAAGGAAAAAAAAAGAGAAGAAAATGGCAGGGGGGGGGAAGGAAGGGCAAGGGAAATCCCTTGTCCGGGATTTTACCGTAAAGGCTGAGGTTGGGAAGTTATTCAAAGTCCTCGATACAAAGGAAAGAAAAGGCTAAACTTGGGAAACTTCCTTTTCAGGGCTTTATTGTTGGCCATTAGCCCGCCTGTCTAGACTTCAAATAACACCTTGTTTATCTGTAAACAGGAGCGGGGGCTGCTTGGGGCTGCCTGGTGAGGAGAAGATCAAGGGTGAGGGTCCCCGCGCTTATTATCCCCGCAGCTCGTGATGTCAAGGTCAAACAACGCCTAGTCACGGTCAAGGGTAATACAGGAGTGACGTCACGGCCTGCTGACCTAATACCCAGCGAGCCGCGGGCGTCAATGGGTAAATAAGCAAGGAAAAGAGAAGCGAGCGATTCCCAATGCCGTTTCCTAACGGGGGACATGAAGAAATGAGTGGGGAAAAAAAAAAAACCCAACAAAAAGGTAGAAATTAATTGGATTTGTGTTCCCGGGGGGGTTCACGTCCGGGGAAGTTCGGCTTCCGCGCCCGCGGAACTTCAGCAGGGAAATAACGAGCTGTTCCTCGGGTTTTGCGTGTCCGGGAGCAATTTTTATTTTGAAATTTAAAGAAATTTTAAATTTCTTCTCCTCCGGGGCAAGTGCCTCCTCCAAAGCCCTTGGAAGAGGATGACCAAACAACTTGAGTTGTAGATCATATTTTGCCCTTCTTCTGGACAAAAAAAACCCAACCCAACCATATCTCGGATCGGCAGGAAGGATTTATCTCAAAAATATAGTGGGAGTATTATTTTTCTTCCAATAGCCCCGAAAACATGTTTTTTTTCACCCCAACCAGCGGGATTAAAGGACCGACTGTCCGTGGATACGTGCAGAGAGGAAGGGTCCAATCCTGACCTCGCTCCGCCGTTACCCCGACCCGGCTCCAAACCCGGCTACGGGGAAAGACTCAGCCCCACATTTCCGGGGGTGAAGCCCGAGGTTCTGAGCAGGTCGGGGACGGGGTCCCCTTTCCCTGAGATTTACATCCTCCCCCCTAAAATCCCAGTCGGCACCTCAGCATCGCCTGCCTGCATCCGTGCGCCTTCCCGGTTCTTGGGGGATGGTACAGCCCCCATTAGGAGGACGGACGGGTCCAGCGACACAGAAAAAAATAAGAATATTATATTTTTGATATTTAAAATATCGTGGGAAACGTGGGCAATGCCCAGCGAGCGCCTGATTTCATGGTGTCACCAGTATCTGCCAAACAAGACCAGCAAACCCCCTTGGTGCCCTGAAGTGCGATGAATGATTTTCTTGTTTCTTCTCTGGTTTTACGTTTGTTTTCTCCCCCCACAATCCCCGTTTAATTCCTCCCACGCGGTCTGAAAGAGCGACCGACGCACAAACCGACACCCACACAGCCCTCTCGCCCTCCAACAAAATTAACCCACAATCGACAAAAACTTCCAGAATTGGAAACTCCGTGAATAACTTGGGCTTAACTACCCACCTCCCTGAAGAAGAAAAAATGTATTTATCCATATCCCCTCATTCCCTCCAATAACACCCCCCACCCCCAATAACCTCAATTTCATCAACATTTCCTTTTTTTTCCCCAAAAGAACTGGCGAAATTCAGGTACAATGAAGAAGAATAGAGGCACAGGGAACAACACGCTCGCTGTCGGGATATCGGATTTGGGCTTGTCTGGAGTTGCTCTCGGGCATTGCAGCGCCTGCACACACGGCAAGCTTTTTTTTTTTTTTTAAGGGGAAGGGGTTTTTTTGGCCTTTTTTTTTTTTTTTTTCCACCCAAACCACACATTCTCGTGGCTGTCGTGCGGCAGGGCGGGTTTTACCAAGGATTTCATCCCGCTATCGCAGCGGCGATGGGTTCCTCGAGGTGTTGTGGTATTTCCTAGCTGAGCCTCTGTTAAGAATAATTAAAAGAAGAATTAAAGCTCTGCCGGTGCTTCCAAAACACAGAAGCTCACCAAAAGTGTTGCAAGAAACACCGTCGGATAAACCCCCGGGTTTCTGCGCTCATCAGCTGCGCACTGGGAGAAATCAGGGAATGGGGGGAAAAAATCAGGGACCCCTTTTTTTTTCCGCCCCCATCCCCTCGAAAGGGATGAGGAGCCGTGGCAGAGGATCCAGTCCGTCCCCCCCCTCCGGGTCACCCCATCCCCGGTATTAGCCAAAGCCGCATCCCACCTTTTCGGAGATTTGGGATCAGTCTGGGAAGCATCCAAGTCCATATAGGTTTTTGCCGGTATTTCTGGCGGTGGTATGGGCTCCATAGGGCACACGCTGCCACCGCACCGAACCCGCGGAGAGACGCTGTCCATACGCACACCCTATGTATCCATCTTTTAGGCGCATTTATAAAGCTATAGGTAAACGCATAAGTACACACGTGCCGTATTAAACACACCGGTACCGACCGTAACTGAGATCTACACTCCGCTTCGTGTGAGAATATAGAGGGTTGCACTTGCATGAATATATATAAATTTATATATAGCATAGAGACGTTGTTATATGCTGTATAGGTGACAGACCTTTATACAGAAATACACAGATCGCCTTAATACCCAGACTTATATAAATTACACGCACACCGTCAAGCCCCGCACACATACATGTAGCGCATATATATATAATATATATAATATATATGCACCGACGCCCAGATCATAAAAAGAAACGGACATACACGGTTATATGGACATGCCATTGCATACTCTTCTACAAATGTGTATATATATTCTGTATATACGCACTTAAACATATCAGCTTGAACACATAATGTATCTACGCACGCTTTGCTGTGGACACAAACGCTAATCTTTTTTTAATATAGCTTGTGCCTGCTCTATCTGCCCCTCACATGAATATATGCGCACACTCAATGCAAATTTAACCCGCAATAATATTGTTTTAGGTTACATCCCTTTAAAAGTCCTCCCCCCCCCCCCTTCCCCTCCCCTTTTGATCATTTAACGAGGTGATTAAATCTAGCAGATATTAAGGTAGATTGTAATCCGCCTATGGAAACAATTTCCTCTCTCGTATTTCTTCCCGAGCTACGCGGCCGGCTCGGAGCCGCGGAAGTTCCGCGGGCGCGGAGCCGGCAGGGCCGCGGAGCTGCTCGGCGGGGCGAGGGCAGGTTGGGGAGATTTTTATCTGGGGCCGGAGCTGGAGTCAAACAGGTTTAGCGAAACGCGTCCTTTGGGAGGGAGATTGAAAGAGATTAGAAGCGTCTCCAGAAAGTCAGCGCGTTTTCACCCGGGGTAATTGCGGGAGAGAAGAAAAATAAGGACAAAAAAAAAAAAAAAGGGGGGGGTAAAAATTAAATACAAAAGCACCCATCTGACTCTATTTTCTCCGCTTTTTACTCCCCCTTGGGAACAATCCTCCTTGGGGACGCGCATCTGCCCCTCGCATCTTCCAGAGAGCACCTTATTAAGCGGTTTCTGCCCAAATTTGCCAAATTTCCCCCCCCCCCTTTTTTTTTCTTTTTTTTTGTCATTCTTTCCCTGCGGAGGTTCCTGCCCGGGCTGTATTTGCGGTGGTTGGGGAGAGGAGGCGGCTGGAGGGAGGGATGGGAGAGGCACAGAGCTACAAAGAGGTGCACAAAGAGCCTCTCCTCAAGGCAAAACAACAACAAAAAAAAGGTATTTATTTTTAAGAAATGTCATCTGCAGTCGGTACATTATCATCTGGACACCACAATATTATATACATATACAAGACATTAAAAAAAAAAAAAAAGATGCTTTTACATATCCAAAGAACACTGTCGATAATTAGCCGGTTTAAAGAGGGAAAGAAACAAACCCCAAAGACAATATTGTGCATTTTTCCATCTTGTCAGCGGAGAACAGACATTCCAGTTTTATGGCAGAGATCTAGAAACCCTCATGAGAACATACCCAAAATAGTCTCGTACAGCAACTTGCTTCCACGTGGGACCTAAATCGGAGGTCGGGATATTTAAGCGATACCGAGCAATGGTTTTCTTCCCACAATAGCAGCCTTATTTCTTATTTTCGGTCCCTAGCGCCGAAAAAATACGAAGCTGATGCGACTTTGCCATAGTTTCTCCATACATTTATACATCGGTGGGTGAAATGGCCCGAGATATGGAAGGCTGGCGAGGGGGGGTCGGACTATACAGCGTTACGGGGCAACATTCAGAGTTCATCTCTCCTTTAACGTGACTACACTCTTAGCTTATTATTATTTTCTTTTCAAAATATACACAGTTTAACCTTATCGACGGATTTCTCCGAGCAAAACGGGGGTTTTCACAGTCAGAGCGGGGCAGAGGGGCAAATCAAAGATGCGGTTGGTGGGGTTTTTTTTAGGGGGGGGATGCGCGTGTGCCTTTGTGATGTCGATTTTTAATTTTTTTTTTTTTTTTAAATAATGACTTGGAATCAGCAGAGTCCCGATGATGTTATCATACAAACTACCAGATAAATATTTACGCTTCTTGCTTCCTTTTCCTTGCCCTTTCTCCTCCAAAGTCATCCTCTGTCAGGTGGCGTGGAGATGCGCTGTCTTGGATTTGCTCACCACCTTCTTCTCCTTGACTCTCCGGTTCTGGAACCAGATAGTCACTTGGCGCTCGGACAGGTTGGTGGTGGCCGAAATCCTCCTCCTCTTCTCTTTGGTGATGAATTTGCTGGCCGCGTACTCCTTTTCCAACTCCTTCAGCTGGATTTTGGTGTAAGGGACCCTTTTTTTCCGTCCCCTCCGATAGCTGCTCACTTCGGGTTGTAAGGGGACCACGTCTGGATTGAAGAAAAAAGAAAAACACAAAAAAATATAAGGAAGAGGGGAAAATGGGGGGATTACTGCACCCCAGGGCGTGGATTGGGGATTTCTGCACGTCGGGGAGAGAAATAAAGAGGGAGAAAAGGAGGATAAAGAGTGGAGGAATGCGAGCGAAGAGAAAGGGGGAGAAAAAGAGAGGGGGAAAAAAGACAAGGCGGGCGGAAAATGCATCCAGCGAGGGGAATACTACTATAATAATAGTAACAACAACCTAATATTCACAATTAACGTAGTGAAAGCCTGTTTTTCTTGGCGACGCTGTCCACGCTGATAAACGAGGAGCATCAAGTCAACACGCAGACTGATGTGCGCGGATAATCAAAGGGACCTTCCAAACGGAGAGATTTAGGACAATATCTGGGGCTTCTCCCCTATTTTTTTCTTCCTTTTCCTATCCTCTTCCCCCCCCCC